TCTTAAAGCATGCTCCAGAGAAACAAAACTTTTTCATGCTTCATTTCAAATACATCAAAGGAAATCACTACTATTCGCTCAGTCCATTCCCCCCCTCCTTTACTTTCTCGCTTATGAAGTTAGAGGATTAACCTCCTCGTCTTTTTCGCTGGGGGGGGTAGCGCTCTTAGTTCTTTTTCTCTGCATTTTGACAACTCACAGTTAAGCCGATCTTTTCTTTTTCCATTTTTTCGGATGATCGCTTTATCACTCGGTGACATCTGGTGGCTCCGCTAAACCCCGTGAAACGGGGTTGCTCACGCAGCAAGGTCCATTGGGGCAGGGCATGACGGGAGCCTCGGTCTCCGACCTCTCGGCCGACAGAGAGACTCCCCCCTAGTACGCCCTAAAGCGCCCCGGATCCGAGCTCCTCTCTTCCTGAGGGGCTCGTTCGGGTCTCCGCTCGTGCGGATTCCCTCCTCCACCGTGGGCGGGCGAGACGCCCTCGGGAGCGACCTGAGGATGCATCCACCATTTGCGGGAGCCAAACCGGAAGCGCTACTTTTGGGGTTGTCATGGTAATGGGTGAGAGATAGGCTAGGTCTGGGAACCATCCTCTGCAGTAAGATGATCCCCAGGGTCCAACCCACCTTGGTCCTACGTGCCTGTTTGCTCGTCGGCTAGGGCATCTGCTCTTCTGCCAGCGAGTGAAGGAATGTTTATTGCAGGGCTATTGGCCAAATGGTCAGCCATCTGGCTTGCATAGGAAATCAGAACAACAGGGGGTCAGCAAGATACATTCCAAGGGAGAAACATGAAGCCTATAGAACATTCAAAGGGAGACATGAGGCCTATAGGGATCAATATTTCTATACACACCCCTACAGGTCATTCTTGAGGTCACAAGATCCATTGCAGAGGACTAGCCATGTGAGTTGGTGGGGTGGGAGGACAAGAGAATGAAACCAACCCTTTTCTTTAGTGGGACTGTGATTGTGGAGGAGGAAAGATTCCATCCCTCACCCTCCCTCACTCTAGCCTCTCCAGCCTGTACAACCAGGGCCAGCCCGAGGTTTTTCGGTGCCCTAGGCAAAACTAGCGCCCCCCCCAGGTGAGGCTGCCTTGCGGCGCCCCCCCACCTTGTCTCTCCCCCCCCACCGCATGACTCTCGTGCACACATGAAGAAGTTCCATGATGACACTCCGGACTGGGAGAAAGGCAGGGAGGGAGGGCAGAGGGCGCAGCAGGAGGCGGGGAAGGGATTCCTCCCCCTCCCCCAAAACATTCTCTTTAGAGGCAACCATCTCCCAGCTGCCGCTGCTGTGCAGCCTCAATCTGGAGCGCACCCAGCCCGGGCCTGGCCGGCTTCCAGCAGCAGCCAACCCACACCCCGCAGCCTTAAAATAGCCTCCCTCCCTGGGCTGACAATGGGGCATGGGGAGGATGAGCACTTGATTGACAGGCGCCACTGGGCAACTGAGCTAGAAAGCAGCCAGGCGGGGGGGCTTTTGGTGGGGGGGCGGGTGCAGTTTGGTTCCCCTAAGGGCTGGTGCGCTCTAGGCGAACACCTAGTTCGCCTAGTGAGCGAGCTGGCCCTGTGTACAGCTATTCCTCCATGCAGGTCCTGTGACTCTGGGAAAGATCTCCTTCGAGCCAGAAGGGGCTGCAGGAACAAACTGCATTTTTGGATCCATGCCATTCAAACTTCAGGGTTTTGACTCAAAAACGATTGACACTGCTTTCTGTTTTCTGATTTTTGAAAGCCTGCTAATTTCTGAATCACATTTTGGATCTGAAGGGGTACCATCAAGTCCTGTTTTTGACCATGGTCCTTTCTGCACACACAGCTCACTGTGCTTACTTCAGATAATCCGAGCAGTCGGACCATTAAGACTTTTTGAGTGCCTGCCCTTCTGCACAACTCCCCCCCCCAGTTTATGTATTGTGTATTTTGTGTATGCATTCTGCATCTCCAACAAAACCTGCTTGTTTTGCTTAATTGGGGTGGAAACTTATGGTGTGTGGTAATGCTCCCTCTAAGCTGTGGAGCCTTGTGAGCAAAAATTCTACTTTGTGAGATACCAGCATTAAAGTTGTGAGCGAGCGATTTGGCGACTGCATAAATTAGTTTTCTCTGGAGTCCATCCTCCCTGAGCTAAGACAAAAATGTGTGAGCTCACACTAACTCAGCTTAAAGGGAACATTGGTGTGTGGGGGTGTCCAGTTGCCCTATCGCAGCTGTGCATTAGTCTCCAGTAAGCGCCAGTAAGCTCCTTCCATTTAAATCCTCCTTGTTCAGTCCTGTTAATGAAACTGACACAGGGAAATGGCCAAAGACTTGGCTGAGCTGGTGCTCAAGTGGTAGGGCACACCACAGCCTCCCCTATCTCTCCTCTTCGCTCCCCCATCCCCCTCTATGGCTCGCTGCTGATGGGCTACTCCAGGCATGGGTGACCCATAGCGGGATATGAGCTCAGAGGCTGGCTGGTCAGTCAGTTTATACTTCGTTGGTGGCATCCGCCATGGCAGTGGTTGTGGAGTCATGACAGGATCTGGTGATGGTGGTGGAATCTTTCCAGCAGAAATACTCCCAGAGAACAGAGTTTTCGAGTTTCCAGGAAGGAGTCCGATAAAAAGTAGATTTTTCACTCCCTCCTTCCTTTTGCCTCCAGTTCCACATTACATTGAACCATATGTGGGGGTGGGGGGAGACAGCATCCGTAGCATCTCCCAGCTACGGAAACCGGCATTGCTGGTGCAGATAACCCATCTTTGCAAAGTCCTCCCAAAAGTGAATCAAAGAAAGACAAAAGAAAGAAAGAGAGATTTAAGCCCAACCATACTGCTGATTGCCTCCCTGCATCAGGTGCAACTGTCAGAGGCAAGCTCAGAGCCTTGGCCATTTTACAAAATGCAGAGAGCATTTTGGCTTTTGTCCTGGTGCTTGCAAACATGAAAGTCCTTGGGGGAGCTCTTGAGAAAAAGCCCTCTTCTCCCTTAAAGTTTCTTCCCCATTGTAATACTTCCCCTTCAGTTGCAAGCACAACAAAGGACTCCCCTGAAGGGGTGGGTGGAGCAGTGGCCTCCAAGGGGGGCGGAAAAGGGGCAGGGGAGGAAATTCAAGGAAATGTTTCTGCCTCCGAATTACTCTGGCATGGAAGTGGGTGGGGGAGTCCATGGCAAAGCAGCACTCAGAAAAGGAAACAGCGCAGGGAAACCAAACTGAGAATTGAGCAATGCAGAATTTAAAGATAACCCGGCGGAAATGCAGAGCAAAACTCATATGCAATGCGGAATTAAAAATATACAGCGAGTTGAAAGCAGGAGGCAATGCAGAACAAAAAAAACACCACGAGGCAGAACAGCTGTGAATGCAGGGAATAATACAATGCCCTTCCTATTTACACTAGAGCCAGTAGTGGAAAGAACCATCCAAGTGCTATCGCATTCTCCCTGTAGAGAACATCTTCCCACCACCATCTATGGAGAGCATAAAATGTGTTATTTAAAAAATAGCAGTTATATAGCACTTCCAGTGTTCAAAATGCTTTGCTATCTTGTTCTGAGCCTTACACCAGCTGGAGTATCTACAGACTACAGACTGGCTAACAGTGCAGTCTTAAGCAGATGTATACACATAAACCCATTAAAGTCAGAGGGCTTAAAAGGGTATAACTTTGCTTAGAATTGCATTGCTAAGCACGGAGGGTTGCTTTAGGCCACCAAGAGAATTTGTGGCTGAGGCAAGAGTCATTCTGGACACCTCCCCACTCACAGCTCATTTTCTTAGCTATTACTCTCTACACGATGCTACTGCAAGAAAACGCTTGATCTTCATTTTCTTTGCCCCCCCCCCCCGGAAGCTCTCTTAATGATGATCCTCCCCTCTGTCATTCATTAATTTGATTTCCAGTTCCACACAATTTCAGATGAATTGGAACGATCTATAATCAATTCTTCATTAAATGGCAAGCTCCAACTTGTAATGAGGTTAAGACTTACTGACCAGAAAGTTTCTCCCGGAAACCCTAGGATACTCCTACTCCTTTTAATGTTAGACCCATTGGCCATTGATCATAAGCTCCCTTCTCTCCGTGTCTATTAATTGTATTCCTTTGTATACTTCAGAAGTGTCCAGATGCCATCAATTAATTAACTCCATTCTTCACTCTTCTTTCTTCCTCCCAAGCTTCAGCATCATGACAAAGAGGATTCCCCCGGCAAGTGGAGATCTGAGGAAGAAATGGCAGCGGAAGCCACAATCCTCCAGAAGTACTTCCAGTGAGACAGGAGGTAATTATCACTAAATCTTTTTATTTAGATGGCATCTATCCAAGCACTCTTGTTATAAGCCCTGGAATTTTGCAGGCTGATCCAACGAGTTGTTGAGCCAGTGTGATGGCTCATGGGATTTAGCATCAAGATTTTCGAGCCAGTACAAGGGCACTGCTCAGCCATGCAAAAGGCTTATGCAACTCCGTTCAAGAGCAAGACACGGACAGTCCAATCATTGTCGTATGGCAGTCTTTCCCAACCTGTGGTTCGGGCCCCAAAAGTGGGTCACAAAGCCTCTGAAGGTGGGTCACGGGCCAGCCCTCCTGAGTGGCTGTCCATTCCTTTCCATTACTCTCTTTTGTATTTTGGAAACCAGGATCTGATCCTGGTAACAGCATTGTCCACGTCATACATTAGTCGGTATTTTTTTTCTTCACTGCGTATACATGTTGATCAAGTAAAACGTTTCCCGACAGTTACTAGAATGAATTTCTTAGAATCTTAGTGGGGGTTAGAGAGAATAATGGAGAAGGAGAGAGTAGCCAAAGGCTGGGATGTAACCTCCCTGTGCAATGTGTATGTCTCAATGCCACTTGCTTGGAATTCATAATGAGGGCAGCTGCACCCTTTGTGCAATGTTTGTTGCTTTCACAAAAACATGAGATCAACCACAGACAGGCAAGTTGCTCATGCCTCTCACTCTGTCCATAAAATGCCATTTTCAGACTCGAGGGGCCTCAGTGTGCCTCAGGGCCATGCAGGGAAGGAATACAATGTTTAACCCTTCAGCCTCCACTCACTTTTGCTCTTTGAAACCAGCTCTGCTTTTTTAATTAACATTTTATACAAAAAGGGATGTCCTTTGAAACACACATCATTTCCCTTAGAAAACAACAACAGCAACAGGGAACCTGGTTTTAAATAGTAAAACCAAGTGGAGGTTGAACAGGTCCAAGACAAAGCCCGCAATTTCCCTCAGTTCTTGGTAGCACCAAAGTACTAGATTGTTTCAGTTTTGCAATGGTACCTTGTCATTCTTGAAAGTGAAGGACTGTACAATGCCCATGTCCAGAGCACCCCAGTACTCCAGAGAAGCAGCAGTAAAGTCAGCAAGCTAGATAGGTCCATTTCCTCTGTATCCTTCCTCTTGTCTGCTCTGCTACTGTGTCTTTGTTTCCGCAGATTGCTACTCTCAGGGATTTCCTTCCTTCTGACCTTCCTGCTTCTTTGCCTAAGTTCCACAAGGGCAAGCTGTCCTCAGTATCTCCATCATCCTATCTTAGATGCAGAGTTAAAATGCTCATTCCTGCTCTTTCACCATGGAGTTCCTTAGCAACAAAGGACTACTGGCCCCGGTCGCACGGACCGGAAAATGCGGGAGGGAAGCGTGGCTGTTTGCCCCGGAGCAAAGTAATGCACGGCAGCCCGATCACATGTCCTGTGGAGGTCCTGTGGGTATGCCGTTAGTTGCCGATCACACGGCTATCCTGCAGTGCAGCAAAGAAGCGGCGCGGCGTGGTGCGATCACACTGGCAATTGCTAGGTGCTGCTTCCGTGGCAAAAGGGATTTTTTCCCCTCACCACAGTGTGCACATGTGCTGGTGGCCATTTATGCGCATCCTGTGGAGACTTAAAAAAAAACACATCCTGTTTGCAACAGGACATGGGCGGGCACCGGATGCCGTGGGATTCCAGTGGCAATGCGATCAGATGCCCACCCGCGTTTTCTGGAAACTAGTACATCGTATGTGGTAGTTTTTTACTCCGCATCTTCGGCGGGAAGCCACGGGTTAGCCACGGGTGCACTACGCTTCCCAGATGTTGCGGTGCGATTGCGCCCGGAAAATCCGCCTATCATCCGTGTCTTTAGTGCGGCAAATGCTCCGTGTGAACGAGCCACTGTTTCTTTTCTAAAACACCAAAGCTTGTCTGGACTTTCTTCCTAAAGACCTCATGCTCCCACCCCTTTCACTGTGCAAATCAGCTCTAAGCTAACAGCCATGTGCATGTGCATACGGAAGAGTGAAGTTGTTCTCTAATACCCACAGTTTTTGGTCTAGGATACCTTGGGGAAGCATCAGAGAGGGAATTTCTGATGATGGAGAATGTTTGAGGTGCTCGCCAGTGGTAAAGTTGACTGCAGTGCTGGCGGGGAGGCACCTCATGCTTAGGGTTGCCAATTTCCAGGTGACTCCTGGAGATATTCTGGCATTCCAACCAGTTTAGATAGGGTAGCTGTGTTGGTCTGCAGTAGAACAAGTAGATTCAAGTCCAGTAGTACCTTAGAGACCAATAAGATTTTCAGGGTATAAGCGGTTGAGAGTTAAAGCTCCCTTGGGTCCATTCCGCATTTGCCTGCCACTCCGGATTTTCTCAGTGTTCGAGCTGAGGCAATTTAAGTCCACAGCAAAACAGCATCCAAATAACCCGGGACAACAGCAGGCTGTTAGGGTTGCCAAACTCCAGGTGGGGCCTGGAGATCTCCCGCTTTTACAACTGATCTCCAGCTAACAGAGAAAATGGCTGCTTTGAAGGCTGGACTCTATGGCGTTGTACCATGCTGAGGCCCCTCCCCTCCCAAAATCCCACCTTCTCTTGGAACCACCCCCAAAGTCTCCAGGTATTTTCCAACCTAGACCTGGCAACCCTAGGCTGAAACCGGGCTGACCACTGAAGGGAGGTAATGTAATGCAGAATGAAGGGGGAAACCTGGAATAAAAAGAAGGTTGAATTTGATTTTAGTGCAGAATTGCTTGGAGGACACTGCGGGTGAACATGGTCAGGGCTCTTTTTGTAGCAGGTACTCATTTGTATATTAAACGACATACCCCTAATGTAGCCAATCCTCCAAGAGCTTACAGTAGCTCCTGTAAGAAGAGCTCTGTAAGCTCTTGGAGGATTGGCTACATTAGGGGTGTGTGGCCTAATATGCAAAGGAGTTCCTGCTACAAAAAAAGCCCTGAGATTAAAAGGAGAGTGCAGAAAGGGCCTTGGCCAGACTCTGACAAAGCTCCCTTTGACTCTTGAAAGCTCATACCCTGAAAATCCTAAGGTGCTACTGGACTCGAATCTAACCAAATTTCCAGACTACAGAGATCAGTCACCCTGAAGAGGATGGCTGCTTCAGAAGGTGGACTCTATGGCGTTATACCCCATCAAGATCCTTCCCCTCCCCAAACCCAGGATTAACCTCCAAGTCTCCATGAATTTCCCAGCCTGGAGTGGGCAAACCTAACTTCACGCTACTTTACTTTTCGTAGAAAACGACTAGACGTCTTTTGAGTCATGATACAGTAAGAGGCACAAAAGTCACTTTTCTGGCTCTCACAAAAGCGACACCTCCTCTCTCTGGGAGACTTAATCTGCCGGCTCTTCTTTCATTGTCCGTTTCCGACAGTCCTATCAGGAAGCTCCAATGCTGACTCAGAGCAAGTTATCTTCCCGCACAATTATCGGCCCTACAGGGTCAACTCAACAGCCCTGGATTTAGCCAGCCAATTGTGCCACTTATTTAACAAGCTTTCAGTGTGGACAATGGGTTCACAAAATGGGAAATCACATTGTAATTAAAGCATTTTTTACAAAAAAAAAAAAAAGGTATATCAATCACAGTTTCTCTTTCCTCCCATTAACACATTTGAGCGTCAGCACTTGCGGAGCCACCCAGGTCAAGGAGGTCTTGAGGAACTGCAGATTGCTTTCTTTTCCATTAAAATGAGCAACAGGGGAGGGGGAATCATTTGAATATAATAAAGAAGCACTTAATTCTCCTGATGGCGCTTCTGCAAAGGCCTGCGTGTGCAATTTGTACCGGCATTGATTGGCGAGAAAATATGGCTGAGTTAGATATTAGCACAGTTTGGTGGGTGTCCTCGTTTGGTAGGAGAGAGAGCTGAGACCAGCCAACATGTTTTTGTTTCAGTCGTATCGACGATGGCCCTGATCTGAATGGCTCAAACTAGCCTGACCTCGTCAGATCTTGGAAGCTAAGCAGGGTTGGCCCTGGATAGTATTTTGATGGGAGACCACCAAAGAACACCAGGGTTGTGACACAGAGGCAGCCAGTGGCAAACCACCTCTGAACATCTCTTGCCTTGAAAACCTGATGAAGTTGCCATAAATCACCTGCAACTTGACGGCACCTTCCACCACCAGTGTTGATGGCAGAGTCTTAAGTTGGAACTAGCTATTACATCAGGCAAAGGAGCTGACACCAAAGAGAGCAGGGCTATATCTTGTTCAGACCAGCATGTAGCCTGCCACTCCACTGAGCCAAGCCTGAAGACTTTGTCTTAAGACCTCTTCCATTCCAAGTTGGAGGAAGGTTCTTTAGTCTCAGGCCCATAGCTATGGTGGAACTTTTGGGGGTTCTGTCCCCTTTCTTAAAGGCACAGCCTCACAAGAATTTCTCCTGTAAATGCTTCCCCCCCCCCCAATCATTTTAAAACATTTTTATGGGTGTGCACTCCTTTAAGCAGAGTGGGGTGCTGTAGTTGACTAGTTCCTACACTGAACAAGGGGGTTGAGTAGGTGACCTCTAGGATCCCTTCTAACTCTGTGTCAAGAAACTGGTCTCCTTTAAGAGAGTTTGTCTGCCTGAGTGTTAGATTTCTTGACTATAGAAGTCATCACCCCCCACCTGCCAGCTTGTTATCAGAATTGTTGCTTTAGGCTGGCAGAAGTGATTAGCTTGCAGCAGCTGAGAACTGTCCGACAGCTTGCAATTTAGAGATCAAGCCTGGTAACAGCTTTCTTTTGGCTAAATGGTTAATAGGCTAAGGGTGATTGCTAACATAAGAGCACCTATGTAGAATAGACAGCTTGAGAAGACTCAGAGAGCGTGAACTTCAGCCCCACCAGAAAAAAATGTACCCCACAAGCCAGAAAATCCTGGCAATGGAACTGTTTAGACTAGAGGGACTTCTTTCAGACTTAGGATATACAAGAGGTGGGACCCGCGATACTCGCAGGGGGGGGGAAGTATTCCCCACAGCTCCCATCCTGCAGAAG